TGCACCCCATTACCTCCAGCCCCGCCCCCCTGAGGGTGTCGCACTCACCGCTTCTGCCGCCGCATCCTCAACCGCCGCGGCTGCTATAGCTACAGGGAGCCAAGGCAACCAGCTCTCGCGACACTTTCCACCACTACGGCGAGAACACCCTAGAGGAGCCTCTCGCAGGAAAGTAAATGAGTCAGGCTCCAGGCCGCGAAGTTTATCTCGCGATAGTTACTGTAAAATGGCGGCCGCGCGGCGTTTCAGGGATGGCGTGCGTAGGGCTGATAGTGGGCGAGAGCTAGTTGGCATCTTGAGCTGGCGGAAGAGTCGGGAAACTACAGCGGGCTGGGCGGGCTGGGCGGGCTGGGCTGGGGGGTGTTAGTATAGCGAACCCCGCCCTGTAATAACTTTAGGGATGTGGCCTTCTTTTCCCAAGTGCCTCAAACTTAGAGCAGTGTCGCCTTTAGCTGAAGCCCCGTTTACCCGGCAGTTCCCTTCTGCAGGCCCAGTAGAGATGGAACGAGCGAGACCGAAATCGACCTTCCCATCTCCTCGTTCCCTTCCTTCAAGAAGTTTTCATCCGTTCTTCCCCTACACCGATTTGCAAATGGCACTTGGTTCCACAGAAATGTTTATGATTATCCGCGAGGGCCACACCCCCATCAGTTTGCCCGACCAAAATAGGAAATAAACGTGGGTGTGCGTTTTAGTGGAACATAAACACAGGTGTTTGAATGCGGAAGGGGATCTCCTTGGGTCGTTTCAACTTCGCACGTGTTGCTTGCTGCCCGGCCGACACGTCCTTAGTGACTCAACACAGCTGTAGGGCTTTGTCTCTCGGCTCTCAGACAACTTTATTATTATTATTATTATTATTAATATGTCTATTGATTTCAGAGACAGGGAGAAGGGAGAGGGATAGAAACGTCAGTGATGAGAGTCATTGATGGGCTGCCTCCTGCACGCCCCCTACTGGGGATGGAGCCTGCAACCCGGGCATGTGCCCTGACCCGAAATCAACCTCAGTCTCCTGGGTCATAGGTGGATGCTCAACCCCTGAGCCACCCGGCTGGGGGTTTTTTATTATTTTTTAAAATATGTTTTTACTTATTTCAAAGAGAGGAAGGGAGAAGGAGCAAGAGAAAGAAACAATGCTGAATCATCCATCGGCTGCCTCCTGCAGCCCCCTTTCGGGGATCGGGCCTGAAACTGGCGTGTGCCCTGACCAGGGTCTCCAGCCCTAAGCCCGGATGGGGTGGGTCGTGGGTCCGCGCTCAACCCCTGAGCGACACCCGCGGGGCTCTCAGACAACTTTATACGCAGACTGAGTAGCATCTGGGAACAGAAGGTGGACTTAACGTTGGTCGACAAGGAAGAATAAAACAGAGGGGAACAAATAAGGAAATAGAAATAGAGAATTCATTTTCTTTTCTCAAAGCCCCTGAATAGCTCTCATAGTCTAGACCAGTGCTATCCAGTAGAAATATATTATGAGCCCCACTATGCAACTTAAAATCTCAGCTTCATTTTTAAAAAGTAATAAATATGAAATTAATTTTAGTTATTTTTAACCCAACATAGTCAAAATATCATTTCAACATGTAAGCAATATTTTAATTATTAATTGGGTAATTTCCATTCTTTTTTTTTCCATACTAAGTTCTCAAAATCCAGTGTTTATATTTACAGAGCATCTCAATTCGGACTAGGCACATTTTAAGCACTCGGTAGCCAGCCATATGTAGCTAGTGACAACAGTATTAGGCAGCAAAGCCCTGGACCCTCAGCTAGGGAATGAGCTATCTGGGTTATTTTAGGGACACAGTATTATGGGCATATGGTTTATGTAAAAGGAACCATTGGAGTTGCTAACTCGAATGACTGCAGAGGCTAGGCAAGTAACAAAAAAAAGATGGCCTGGTGTAAAACAATAGGTAGTATTGGGGACTAGGACCCACTGGAGAGCACATGCTCATATCTAAAAGGGAGCTCTCCTGAGCTCCTGAGTTTAAAACTCTCCTGAGGTTTAAAACAGCGATGGCAAACAGAAGATGTGCATGAGCAGAATAGACAGATAGCTCTGCTGCCAATGTGTGGCTTCTGTGAACTGTGGTATTCAAATGTATGAACCATTTGTGAAGAAAGTGTTTTAACAGAAGAATAATGTCCAGGCAAATGCAAAGCTTGAGGATTTGACTGGATTTCCAGCTGGATCCTGTACAAGTATGCACTTTAATGCATTAGACCACCATTGCAACTTCTGATAATAATTTGACTTTCAAGTAGACTTTTCTACTAAGGAAATAATTTCACAACCAACCTGGGCTCCCTGTAAATTAGTAAACTTGTATCATGATTTTTTTGTTGTTGTTATATTTAAGATTTCAGACATTCTCAGCTTGGAAAAATTACGTTTCTAGGTTTTTAGAGTTGTTTACTAGCAGACCTGGAATTTTCTTTTTATCCCAACCTTAAGAGTAGGCATTTAATAATTATTTTATGGTTGGCTGTGAAGTCTCTTTGTCGCATGTGTTATTTGTCTTTGTACCTCCGATGTCTGACCTAATACCTGGTATATAGAGGCACTCGACAAACATTTGTCCTTAATTTTGGGGTGGGCTCACAGACTTTTAAACATGAAAATTTGATGAAAGCTATGGCCCTTAGCCAGATTCTTTCCCTACCCATATTCCCTCAATCCACCTCAGAATTTACTACAGCTTTGGTAGACAGATCTTGAACAAGCCCGTAGCTTCCAACTTCACCTTTGTCTGGAATTGCCAGCAGAGTTAACATTCCTGATAGCAATCTGCAACCAATGAGAGATGGGATTTGGAGGCTAAAAACTCCAGTTCCCTACCCCCTCAATGGGGCAATTCTGAAGTATGATCTACTATAGTGTTTCTCAAAATTTACCAACACATAGGAATCATCTCAAGAGCTTAATAAGCCATCGATTCTTGAGTTTGTACTTTTAACCAAGCTCCCAAGAGATAATCATGCTGCCAGTCCATGGACCACACTTTGAACCATATTTTTCTGAGTCCCCAATGGGATTCAGCCCTAATTGCCCAGACCACCTTTTTTTGGTGATCATCTCACTCTGTTACACTTCTTGAATTCTGGGATCACCTCCCAAATTAACTATTAGCATCCAAATTTTTGTTTCAGGGTCTCTTTGGGGAGAAATCCAAACTATGACAACACATTCCTTAGAAAAATGCATACAGGAAGAGTTTTGTGTACAACTTTACAGAAAGTATGAATCCCCTGGAAGTTATTTAGGTTGTAAAGGAAAGTTACCAGGGTAAGTGTCACGTGACCCAAGATTTATGAAAATTGAATCAGCTTATGCAGAGCCTAGCAACTTAATACAATCTTTAATGGCACAAGAAGTTGGCTGACTTCAACCAGCTCTCAGAATTTATTTTCCCAGAACTTATTAGGTCATTTCTTTTTCTTTTTTTTAAAATCCTCACCCAAGGACAATTTTTCCATTGCTTTTCAGAGAGAGCAGAAGGGGGAGGGAGGGAAAGAGAGAGAAACATCAACATGAGAGAGACACATCGATTGGTTGCCTCCGCACATGCCCTAGCCAGGGCTGGAGATCGAGCCTGCAACCAAGGTATGTGCCCCTGGCTGGAATCAAACCCTGGACCCTTCAACCCATGGGCTAACTCTCCAACTACTGAGCCAAACCACCCAGGGCTAAGTCATTTATTTGTCCTGGTTTGCATCACTCTCACTTTGTGGAACATAGTAGTAAGTCCTGGGATTCTAAAGAAACCCTATGCTTGAAATCAATAAAAAGAGTAATGTTAGTAGTCCCAGGGATGTAAAGTACAGCATAGGAAAGAGTCAGTAATATCATAATAACTATGTATGGTACCAGGTGGCTACTGGAAATATTGGGGGAACACTTTGTGAAGTATATGAGTGTCTAACCACTATGCTATACTCCTGAACTAATACAAAATAATGTTGAACGTAAACTGTAATTGAAAAGAAAAAAAAAGTAAAGCCAAAGAGTACTATTACTCATTCCTATTGGCTCTCATTGTTTCTTCCCAGTTATAGCACTTTCTGGGCACCACCGCTGTGCCCCTGTGACCCTTAGGTCTTTTCTTGCTGTGTTCATCCAGAGCCACGCATACGATAACTGCAGCTGGTTTCTCCTGCTTCTTTCTGGATTCCACCATGGCTCCCTATTCTATCTCATCCTTTTGGGAATCTATAACCTTTGACACATATATTTCTAAACCCACTCTGGTGTCATCTGGAAATTTTATGGCATGTTCTAGTTCTGTAAAATTGGGTAATCCTGATTATCCCAATTCCTAATCAGCTACATAAAGAAAACTAAGAGCAAGGTCACCAACACCTATTCCCTAACCACAGCACACAATAGCTTCTTAGCTGTGCCCATGTATAGGCTAGCACATGTGTTCGTGCATGATTATTTGCTTTATGCACTATTGAATAAGTATGTCTTCGTAGACACCTATGAATGTGGTTTCGTGGGTGTGGGTGTGGGTGTGGGTGTGTAAGTAACCAGAGCTCAGGTTTGGTTTTGAAATTTGAATGAGTGTTTAGTATGTAACTTTAATTAGTCTTTGTGCATTGTTTTCGTCTGCACTCAAATATCAGAGGAAAAATGAGTTCATTTCCTTGAAGTTTATTGACCATTACCGGTGGCAGAGCAAATTCCATGAAAGAGCATGTTCCATACAGAGCAAGTGGAAGGGGAGCTCTGAGTTGGTGAGGACGGACGCTTGGAGTAGGACTCAGAGTGAAAGATGGAAAGGCAGATTTCTCCCTCCTTTCACCCTCCATTCCCAAAAGGTATGGAGGCGGAGGTATCCTGCCCAGCATTCCCTCTCCAAATTGGAACCAGAGAGGGGAAACTTGGTGCAAAGTAGAGGAGGAAACACCTCACAGCTCCTCCGTTTCTCCATCCAAGGGGATTCCAATATCCACACTGTAGTCTACAGGCTCTCCGGAGCTCAGCCAGGGAATAGGGGTTCGATTGAAAGAAGGCCTGTTGGAGAAGCTCTGGTTGTAGAGGACCAAGGGTTCATTCAGCAGGGGCCCCAGGTCAAACTTGGGCATCTGGAAGGTCATGCGTTTAGATGCCTTCTCATATCCTCCATAAGGCATTGCTGTCCTGAAAAGGAACACATTATTTCATTAAACACCAGAACAAAAGGGACAGAGCTTTACCAGTGAGAAGTTACTCTGTTTGAAGATGGGGGAGTCTATGGTTCTAGTTTGAGGTTGCTTCTGCACTCCTGTTCTCCTCCATTAGCCTCTCATTCCCCCTCTTGGTTTTCCTGGTTTCCCAAAGCTAATATGAGAAAAGGAGTCTAGGTACTAGATAGCCTCATGAGTAGTTGTAACCCAAACCAGCATTTTAGAGAAAGTAACCCCAAACACCGTAGACCCAAGGGTCTGAGGCTACCTTAAATTTCAACATAGAACCCCTACCTTACCTTCAGTGGATAATACATGGTCTAGATGAGAGGAATGAACATTTCCTGGAAAATCCAGGCTCCTTGGGACCAAATGAAAAAGCGCTTTTCTAGCACTTCCCTATCTTGCTTTCACACAAATTTACTATCCATGCTCTAGAGAAGCCCAATGTCAAAAGAACAGATACTTAAGCCTTATTAAAGTAGGGTATAAAGGACTAGAACCATACTGCAGGAACAGCAATGGAATCCTAACCTTGAATAAAAGAAGCCTCAATAGGACTTTAAATGTATAATATAGTATTTATAGTCAAGGCAACCAAGGCTCAGAAGAAGGGCGACTTTCCCATGTCCACACAGCTAATAAGAGGCCTATGAACAAAAATTCAAGCCCTGCCTCTTGGCAAATTTTTCTTTCATCATATTTTGCTGTTTCTCTGAGCTAGAGTGAAAAGAGCAAAGGCCTTCAGTTAGGTCCCCCATGTTCTTCCCATGCCTCCTGAAACATTTGAAGCCAAGTCTTCATCCCAACTAAGGACACAGTGCCACACACTGAGATGCAACCAGTTCCTTCCCCATCACCCCTACCTGTTGAAGGACTTATATTGGGGGAGTTCAGCTTTGGCCCCATAAGCCAGCAGGTCAATGCCAAGTTCTACTTTTTGCTGGGGGTCAACCCCCATGGCTCTCTCCCATGGGGAAATATAGGTCTTGAACACGGTGATATGTTTTCCTTCTCCACCTGCCTGGTCTCCTAGCAGCCATGGGAGAGAAAAGGAAGTCAAATAATAGCAGTTAGTAACCAAGGGAAGTTAGTTTCACACCCCTGCACAAGGGAAGCTGCTGAGGCCAGGGGCCAAAGGTATAAAGTCCTCCTGGTAATTGTATGAGGTTTGTGGAATAATGAAAGCCTGGAGTCAGATCTGTCTCTTAAACTGAAAAACCAGAAAGGTGACTAAGAAACAAGGCTTCTGGGTGAAATAGACACATCTTTCTATTTTCCTGGGCCCAGAAAGTCCATTAAGATGTGTCAGGCTCCCCTTCTCCCTACATCCAATCGAGGCCTCATTCCTAGGGATACCACTGGTCTAGGGACCAGACACATTACTCTTGGGTGAGAATACTTGCCTGTTCCTGTATCGCCAACCCCTGCTGTTCCATCAGCTCCTCCTCTGCCAGTCTGGGCCCCCAGGCCACCTGTACCCCCAGATCCAGATCCAGATCCAGGGCCCTGATGGTGCTGTTGGTCAGAGCCATACTGTCCAGCAGAGCCACTTCCCATTGCCTCGCCTCCACCACTGCCCTTGCTGTAGGAGAATCCCTCACCAGCTGTGCCCAGCTGTCCCCCCACTGTGGGAAGGAACTTCTGGAAGTGATCCTGAAAGACAAGGACAGAGTGAAGGGCATGTTAACAATGAGTATGGGAAATATACAAAGACACAGGCTTGCACACCAAGGAAGATATGATCAGAGACAATGGCCAACCAGAAGACACTGAATCCTCTAAGGTTCTCCCGTCCAATAGATGGATAGTGGATAGCCTGCCTAGGAGGAATGAAACCCTCCGTAAGGGGTAGGAACCCCTGGGCTCAGTTCCTCCAGTTATAACTTAGGATGGTGACAACTCATTCTCAAGACTCCTCTGTCCCATCCTTACCAAGCCAAAGAGGACCAAGACTTCTGACCAACTAAAATTTGAGATATAGCTTTGGCATGGAGAGCCCAGCCTTATTTTGAAGAACTACAGAGATCTCTGTCCCCTCCCCCTCCTCATCTTGTCTAACAGATAGAACTTTTCTCTCTTCCTCTCCCTCTCTCCTCTTGGTGCCTATTGGACCAGGACTTCCTGGCGGTGAAACTATAGTGGGAAAGGAGAAGGGTGGCCAAAAGAGCAACACTAGATTCAGTTCCTAAGCCTAAAAATAACCCACCAACTCCTTCAGGAGGCTCTACTGGCCACCCATCGTGCACATCTCCTTGCTCCACCCAGTGTAACCAGACCCAGGCAGGAAGGAGGGCTTTTGGTCTCCTAAAGTTAGATATAACTGGCTCAGCATTTTTACTCTGCTTCTACATAAAGGCCAATGACATCTATTTCCACTCTCCCCTGGCTGCCCAGGAAAGGTAGAGGGGAAAGGAAATGGAGAAGATGCCCTCCTTCTCGGCTATAACATCTTGTGCCTGGCCCCTCTCCAATCCCGACTTCTCTTTCTCTGAAGGATCCTGATTAGGGAACATAGGATCTTCAAGGATAGTGTCAGTCCCCACAGCTGGGGTCCTTAGATAAAAGAGTGGCTCAAGAAGGGATGGCTATAAAAATTCATTTAACTCTTTCTAGGGTCTCCAGATTTAGCATATAAGGTTATAGGACACTGGCTAAATTTGAATCTTAGATACACAACAAATACTTTTTTAGTATAAATATGCCACAAATATTGCATGGGACATATTTATATATGAGAGTATCCATTGTATATCGGAAATTCAAATTTAAATGAGTGTCCTATATTTTAAATTTTAATTTAATTTTTATGTCCCAATTCTTTTGGAGGACATACTTATACTAAAAAAAGCATTTATTGTGTATCTGAAATTTTAATTTAAGTGTCTAGGGTTTTTAAAAATTTTTTATGCTTATGTCTAAAATATTGAATGGGACATGCTTTACTAAAAAATTATTTGTGTGTATCTCAACTTTAAAACACAGGGCTGGGCTTCCTCTGTTTTATCTGGCAACCCTATCTTTAACACTAACCCATACTGGGAAGGAATTTTCTCCCTGAGGGTGTGGTACTCCCCACCCACCTTCATTAGCTCTGAGATAGAGACTGAGTTCCAGAGGTGGGCTGTAACTCACCCTGGAGCTGTTGGGGACTCACTATATCTGGGGGTTTTGATGCGCTTTTAAATTTGCAGGAAGGGAAGGTTGGTGGTATTTTGGAGACTCAGGGCCTACCAAGAAACTTTCAGGAGGGGCACTAGGCTTTGAGAGTAGTAAAGTTCCGAACTCACCATTGAGCTGTCAGAGAAGACATCGGGGTGGTTTTCATAGATAAATTTCTCCACCCGCATCTGCCGCAGTTTGAACATCTTAGAGCCCCGGTTAGTGAGCAGTGACAGCTCCTCCAACATCACATCCCTTGGGACACTGATCTTCTTGCCCAGGTTCAGGCCCGAGCTCTCCTGTCCACCTTTTAGGGAGGTGGGGAGGAAGAGGCAAGGGAAAGAGGAAAGTAGGGTTTTCTGGGCTCAGAATACAGATGCCATCCATAACTAAGTGTGTGTGTCCCAGCAGAGACTGCTAAGGGAAGCAGATGCTGTCCGCGATGTCCGATCAAACTCTGTCTAGTTTGTGAGGGATTTTGATTTCCTGGGTTTGAAGTTGGAGACAATGCATGGGAACTGGGGTGCAGAGTGGAGATAGTGGAAATACTAGAGAAAATGAATGGGGTGAAGGGGACATTGGCATGGCGTTATAGGGCAAATAAAGTACATCATAGATGGAAGCCACTGGGGAAACTGTAGCCTGGGGGAAAGTCCAAAGGCCAACACCGTGTGGAGTTGGCCACCATAGTATAGACTCCTGCCTTACCTCCCTTCTCTACTCTTCCCCTCAGTGAACTCTGGCTGCAAACAGTCTGTGTAGTTTTCCATTTTAAATACATACACAGGCTTCCTAGCTTTGGGGAAATAAGTAAGGAGATTAACCATTTATTGAGACCTAACTCTGTGCCAGTTTCCATTGTATATATTTTCTTCCTTAAACATACCTCACTGACCTGTGGGTCCCGTAGTCCTGGACTTACACTGGGTAATATGGCAGGGATATTATTGTCTCATATTACAAGGTGAAAAGTGTGGAAAGGTGAGTAGTTAATGTTGAATACTTTCTCCTGTCCCACCATACCATCCCTCACCCCACCCTACCCCTGAATCCCTCTTATCTCTTCACCCTAAGATATATATAATCTTATGATATTTCTGGGACTGATACCCTTAATAAGAAACCCCATGCTAGGCAGGTGCAAACATGCCATACCTCCAGTGAGTTCCATGATCAGCTTGCTAGGTTTCCTCTTTTTATTGGGGGCTGGGGTTCCTGAGAGTGGCATTGTGGAGGTGGATTCAGCCTGGATGGGAGGGGAAGGGGGAGTCGAAAGATGAACAGAGAAGGGTGATTGGGAAGGGTGAGTGTCTACAGTAAGGCAGCACTGCTTAACCTGGAGTCAAGAGCTCCAGGGAACAAAATTTCATTAGATTTTCAAAGAAATATATATTCCCTCAAATGGCGAAAACTCACTGCTTTAGGGAGTTTTCTTCTCTTGGGAGGCGGGGCAGAAACTATGGATGAAGCCTTTGCTCCTACTTTCTCCCAACCTCTTTGCAGCTGTTTTACAAAGTGCTGGTGCACGCATTCGGAACACAGTGTGTATGGGGGGCCAGGGGCTAAAACAAATAACACATAGGCAGGACAATGCACCCAGGTTTCATCGGCATGATCTGAAGTTTTTATTTGCATGGGGATCTCAGATTAGGGCTGTCATCCCGAGCTCTGGTCTCTCCTCAGTCTTCCCCAGTCCCCAAGGGGGCAGAAAAATGTTCTGCCAGGCTTGAGATCCAGCCAGAAACATTCTCCATAGGAAGGAGAGGTTGTTGCTCCTCCATTGGGCCAGCTGGAATGTGGCCTGGGAGGTCACAGCAGTGCTCCCTGTTCCTGTTCAGTCACTCCTGCCCCAGACCCCAGAACTGGAGAAGGGGGGTGGGTCAGAGGACATTTGAACCTCGATGCATGTCAACTCAGCAATACCATAGCAGTGGGAATTTGAGAGAGGACAGGAACATAATAATGGCATCTGGCAGTGAAGGGGGACAAGCTGGGAAAGATACGGACCCGTTCCTCCTTGACAGAAGTTGGCGACCAGCAAAAATGTTGTCTTCTGCTGAGTCCTGTCTCACAACACATCTGCAGTTCACTAACTTAGTGGGGTCTGCTGAGGTCAGAGTCCAGGAACTGCTAAATGGACTCCCCCGGTACCTCTCAGCCTCAACGAGGTTTTCTTCTATCCAGCCCCTTAGACCCCCTTCTCATTCCTCCAGTGCCTCCCCAATATCTCTATTCACCCCATCCTCCTGGGCCCCTCTCCTTCCAACTCTCTGTGGCTCCCCTGAACTGGACAGCTGGGAGCTGAGCATAGACGGGGGAGAGGGCAACCACCCCAGGATCAAGGGTCACTATTCCGCACAGACACAACAGCCAACAGAATGGTCTCCAGCCCCTCTGGTCATAGAGTTGGAGACTTACCGGTTGCTCAGGCGGTGGTCAGCTCTCCCTGGGGCCCAGCAGCTCAGGAGGACTGAGCGCTGTGACTGGAGAACCCGAGCTGGGCAGGCGTGGGGGAAGCACTGGCCGTGGGGGAGGGGGGTGGTTATTAATAGAGATGATGAGCGCAAGCAGCTCAAATGGCACGGGGTACTGAGACCCTGGAACCAAGATCCCGCCCTCTTTGCCCAGAGGCTCAGGAACGAAGGAAAGGCCTTTGGGATTCTCCCACTAATCTCCCTGGATCAATCTGCCCAGGGACTCCCTTTCGCTTGACACATAGAGTCTGAGATCCACAGAAGCATTGAGGGAGAAATTGAAAACTGAGGAGAGAGGAGGCAGGCAGCAAGTGGTAGACAGGAATTCAGAGTGGGAGAACATGTCCGGAGAGCCACTCAGAGCCCATCTAGGCCGCAGCTGGAAGGACATGTGGGTGCATTTTGGGGGTGGGAACGCTTATGGCTCTGTGTTTGGGAAAGGGAAGTCTGTTCACAATGGAACTACTCTTTGAAAGTTCCTGGGTGGGTTGATCTTTCCTCTGGAAGGGCCAGATCTTAGCAGATTAAGGGACAAAATTAACCAAACCCAGTGCTTCTTAGGCTGTAAGAGAAGATGTGGGAAAGACTTGACCGACTTCTGCCTTTTCACCCCCATTTGCTGTTGGGGTGCTCAGTTCAGCCTACTCTGCAGAATAGATGTTGATTTCTCTCTGAGAAGTCCATGAAGGCTCTGACCTGCCAAGGCCTTACTCTCTGAGATTCCTACTTAGACTTTTCTTCAAAGGAACACCCCCCCCCCC